AACGGACCATCGAATCTCTTCGCCCAACACTTCTACTCGAAATGGAAGTAAGCTCAACAATTATATCCATAGTTCGATAGTCCGGTAAAAAATTATAAATAGGGAAAATGATAAATAAGTGAGTAAAGAAAATGTGGTTAATAGAAAGAAAGAAGAGTTTGAATAAATAAAAATTAGGGATTGCTTAAATGCTGTATAAAATCCAAGCCGGCAGGCAAGAGAGCACTTCCAGTTAGTTCAGCTCTGGAGGAATTGAAGAGGAACTTACGTTGAGGCGTCTCCTGGTCGAATGAAACCGATGAAGTGCCGAGACTCCATTCACCTTCTTCATCCTGCTCTCGCATATTCATAAGTGTCCACTGCTGGACAGCCTCATTCTTGGCCGATAACGGCAAGAAACTTGGGTTAGAGCAAGCGTTGGTTAACTTGGTCTGCCCGGCTAGTTCCAGATTTACTTTACACGCTCGGCACCGTGCCTTTTCATCTGACGGCTCGCCAGTCTGGGCCTGGCTATTTGGCGCTCGCGGTCTGCGGCCGATGCTTCGGAGCTGACGTCGCTTCTGATCACGTTCGTGTAAAAGTCGAAGACCGAAGAATGCCGCCTCGGAGGCTATATGCCGTAGAAGCCGTTGCAGCTGATCAACTCGCCAATGGCAACGCTGAAGGGAAGCATTGGCAATTAAGAATCCAGTAATTAAGTAAACTAGAGTGAAAACAAAAACGGAAGGCTTAGAAGGGCAGTTTCCATGCGAATACGTCATATGACTTCGGTTGACAATGACTACAAAAGAATGGTCCTAAAGTTTGACCATCAATTATAAGTCAGATAGATGGAAAAGGAATCTACTTATAAAACTTTCCTATCTATTGTGCTTAATTCTTGCCAAAAAAGCACAATAGGCGAACTTCGAGTAACCGAATTGTCATGATGAAAGAACTAGGCATACAAAGTCAATTTGTTTGTAAATAAAAGGCATGCATATTAAATGAGTCCTAAGAATAACTAGGCCTAATTCGTGGGAAAAAATGTTCCGGCCACAAATTCACCAAAAAACATTAAGATCGAACAAATAAGCGATAAATGAAATAAAAATAGGCATTTAATAAATAAGTTTAAGGAGCGCAGGCAAAAATAAGCCAAAAATAATACGCATGATAGATTTTAATAAATTTAAAAGTTGTCCTTTCAAGTTTTACATTTTACATACTAGAACATTTTTATTCCGATTTTCGCATAGCTTACAATCAATTCTTAGTCATTAAGGTCAAAATAGTTTTATAGTAATCCAGCCCTTTCGAGTAAAATTATAATTAAATGCAATTTCAGAATCCGAATACAAATAATAATTCCATTATAAATGTTATATAGGAAAGACATGGTAAGTTTTGAAAGAGATCTCTTCCTTGCAACCCACTGAAACTCGTAGCGTTTTTGTAACACATCAAAAGTGTACATTGCACTACCAGAGTTGACTTCTAGCTGGGGATACTGATGAAGCCCAGAAAATCCAGTCCGGTTAATATGAGAATGATCTTTTGGAAGAAGAAGCATTAGCTATGGTGATGATGAACTAAAGGCATCTACTTGAGTGTAAACCAAAGGTAATTTTATCCTCAAAAAGACAGATAAAACTGTCGAAAACACAAATTTTCTGAATTAAAAAACTAGGGCTTTATTTGAGTTCTTCGATTATAAAAAGAATTGTTCTGAGCTCTTGCAGTTCTTTTTTCCCAAGATACCATATATTTTAATTCAACTCACATAGAGCACACGCAAGTTTAAAAAAATAAGAAATAATTCTAATATTTTAGAATTTGAAAAGCAGAATAAGAAAGCGCGAAGCTTTTTAAGGCACCTTCTTAGCCTAATGAAGTCCTTTTATCAATCAAACTAGGATAGAAACAAGATGTAGATATGTATTGACGAGCAGGATGGAATAATGCAAGACAATTGCGTGTCGATTGATCTTTATTATACAAATAAAGCAGAATGAACAGTTTAAATGTGTTAGGCGGATAGTTCTGGTCTAGGTCTGATGTGTACAGAGAAGCTCAGGATGTATGAGCATGTTAACAATTCTGAGTATATGATCTATTCAGGCCCAGCTTACAGCCTTTATGAAAAGCTTAGTAGTGACACTTATGTATTTCTTATCCCCACCAGACAACCACGCTGGAATACATATTTAAGCCCCAACACCAAGCCGCCCCTTATTATGCGCAATGAAGCAGTACCACAGCTGAATGTAGATTGGGAGACATTATTAAGGTAAGCGGGAACAGGCCAATGGTCCTTGGTGGAGAGTGAGAATCGTGGTCGTTAGAGGAGACAACACAAATCCATGAATGTGCGTTCCGGATCCGATTTCTTCTTTGTGCTAAGATGATCTCCATTTCAATCGCATAGTGCTCCCTTTACCCTAGCCTGCATGAGTGAGAATCATTTAGTCGAATAGATAGATTGATAAAACGAATAAAATATTATTTAATAAAGAATATGGCGATTATGTTGACTTGTGGATTTAATTGTGATATAGTGTATGGTTGCACAGTGCATGAGTAGAATGAATGAATAGTGAATAGAATATTCACTATCAGTCCAACAAAATGCTTCTAAGAATATCGTCAGTGAAAAAAGGAACGTCTAAAATTTGAGTACTCTAGACGTAAATACCTGATTCTATCAAAATCTCCTGAGGCCATCGTTGATACAGCCCCAACTATTTAACATTACTAAGTTTAATCCCGATAGAATTAAGGTGTTGGAATTTTCTTAATGAAATAAAAAATGTAAATAGGGTGGTTAAAAGGCAAGAAGCGCAAGAAAAGCCTTAATTCCAAAATTAAATTTGAGAAAAACTATGTTTATTAAACACCTTATTATCAAAGTCTAAAGTACGGAACCTGGTGTTGATTAAAAATACTATAAAAATATTCGAAAAAGTTAGCTATACAATCATAGGAAATGATGCATAAATAAGCGAAAAATAGGTAAATGTTGACTTGACTTATGTACTTCCAATTCCATTATAGCTTCTTCATTGCATCTCGGCGTGGTGACAGGGTTTAAAGATGTTAGTGCACTAAAATTGTCTGCTGTTGGTTGGTCTTGCTGACGATTTGACTCACGGGCCAATGGCTCGCTGTCGGTCTCTTTAGGCTGTGAATGCAACTCGAACTGCTCTTGCCGTTGCGGTAAAGGCTTTATCTCGAGCCCAGTCTTAGATTGGGATGGGGAAGATACAGGAAGACTCCGCCCGGAACCAAGTCCACTAGTAGTGGTAGTCGTCGTCGTCGTTGAAGTCGTCATAGTTGTCAAGGCAGTTTTAGGTATATTGAGAAAAACTGCAGTACCTTTGTGTATGCCGATTCCAGAAGAAGTGGCCGAGGCGTGAGGCCGCATATTGAAATCCTTACCTCCAAGAGTCTGACCAAATGCTGATGCCGAGCGTTTGGCAGGCTGACGCTCCGCCCCAGCAAGGTAGAGCTCAGAAGCAAGTCTTTTACGCTCCTGTCCCAGCACATGAAGACGCGCACGCTGGCACTCTAGTTCTGTGCGGAGACGGTTGAGGCTGGCGCGTTGACAGGCCGTCTCTTCAGTTTTCGCCTCCTTGCCAGGGAATAATAATAAAAAGCGGCAAACTTAGTCGATCAGAAAGTGAGATCCGGTTGGTTCAAGCATAACTAAATCACCTATAGAAAAGTAATGATAATTGTGGAAAAGATAAATAAAGCGATCTCGAAATTAAGATGGTACATAAACGAAGTACGAATAGAACTATGCTACCATATAGATCGTATGCTAATCAAGGCGTAGCTCTTAAGTTCAAGCATATGTGAAAAACCACAAATAGAAAGCCAAGAGATTGTGGTGATTCATCGAAATAAGAGGCATCTTTGCGCCCTCATAATGCTTAATAGAAAAGCAGTAAGATGTGTCGTGAATTTACATATACACATCAAATTTAGAATTTAAAACACCTGTACAGCGAATGAATAGTGAATAAAGGGAAAAAGAGTATAAAAATTTATACAAATTATTTGTCAGATGATAAAAAGTAAGCACATATCATATACCTGATCTTCTGGTAGTCTCTAAAGCCTACTTATAAACGAAAAATAAGCAATCTAGTAGATTGCTAAAAGGAATACAATTTTTTTAAATCAACAATCCCACTAAACAATGTGATAGTGAAAAATTCCTGGCGTTCCTCGAAATTCACATCTGCCTCTGACCTAAGGACATTCATGGCATTGCGGCGTAGGGGTCTCATCTTTATGATCTATTGGTAACCTTGAGAGCCTATTTATAAACGAATAGCAATTATATATAATAGATTTGTTTATTAGATTAGAAATAGTGATTTATAAAATGAGAAGCCAAAAAATATTTTCAATGATTCTTGTGTCCAGGAATACAGTGAGTTGCAATGTTCTACTGCTACAAGTTGTGATTTTATAGGAAAAAATTGATAGCTATATTTAACCTAGATTAGATAATATATTAAAGGACTGATAGTATAATTTGTCCACAACGACATTAAAAGCCTCCACATTTCGAAACCGAATTAGTACGAATAACAATATATATATATATATATATTGTGTTGGTTTGAACTCATTTTCGCAACTTGGTCGGAGCATCGGGGAGACCTCATGTTACGTACGTAGTCCTGCATCCTCTTCCACAATAATCATGAGGATTTCCAGCATTGTTACATTTTCAGATGTTGTGCTAGTATCGTCAGCACAGAGTCACAACTTATTAAAGTGACGAGTAAAGGCAACTTTAACAATTTTTCTTTTCAACCGTTCTGGCATCTCTCCTAGCCCCGATTTTTGTCCTACCTCCTAGCACTGCATCTCTTTCTCTCAACCTGACTTCAGATCGCCCATTTACCTATTCACCCAATTATGTGATCTCATCTCCTCCAATGATGGTCAAGACTGTGTCGCTGTCACTTTATTTGGTGAAGCGTAATCATCTTCACGACAGGTCTCAAATATTTCTTGCAGGGCTTATGACTTTTATTCAGCCCCCCTCCAATCTTGCTTATCAATTAATCCCTGTTACACATCAAACTCACCATCTGGTTGTCTGAAATCAGACTAATTATGACCTTTCAATTTCCGTCCCCGTTTATGTCATGATTTGAGTTAGATTATCACCCCGGAGGATTTCCCGAAGCTACAGATGACAGAAAAAATGCTGCAAATAACCTTGGGCTTAATCAAAAGAGGCACCAGAAGAAGCTGTATAAATATGGGATCTATAGGCAATCCAAGGTCGAGCCACCTGAAAAATGAAGATGCATCTAGAATAACGAATCTCATAGTCCAGACAAGATAGAAAGATAAAGTAATGAGACTGTCTTCTGTTCATCTTGACCTCTAGGCCATGATTATGCTCAAGAAAGGATTAAATTTTTCACTTCAGAACGAAAGGCATGTAAT